AGCTCGTTTTTTGATCCCCCCCCTTGTGGGGAACAAAAAGGCTCTGTGTTTCTCCCAGTACAAGGCAGTGCTTTAACAGACAATAAATTAGATTGTTACCCAAGCAGCAAACATGATTTCATAATGTGGCTATACAGAGAGCTGTCTTTAAACAAGATTTCGAGATAGTACTTTTACTCTCCACCTTTATTTCTTTAACACAAATAGAGCTTCTATTTTGAAAATGCTCTGACTGCTCCCATTTAAGATGCAAACAAGTATTACTGTCATGTGTGAATTCTCCAACATAGAGACTCAGTCTTTGGAATCCTGAACATGACTAAACTAAGTACAACACAAATATTTCAAAGTTATGAAAAACTCCAAATGACAATGGGTGATAAAGGAACCTAAGCTTGCCTCCAAATCTTCAGCTCCCAGATCTGCATCTTTATGTCTTCAGACCTTCCTTCTGGTCCTAAAAGAACAGTTCTGCAGAGAACCATCAATTAAAGTAGGTGAAAATAGTCTTGGCATTCTTAACACTCTACCACAAGTTTTGCATTAACTTACACTCTTCCTAAGTACCTTGAAACATAGAACAGTATCAAATGGAAGTCATATCTGTCAACTAAAATATTCTAGCCTGGATGGGTATGGTTGAAAGCTTGATAATGTGACCTCAGTAAATCAAAAGCTATATTGAAAAAATCAAGCATTAAAAAAAATTTTAATGCTTTAAAGGAAATACAATGATTTTTAGACTTATGCTATTGCAATCCTGAAAGTCATAGATTTTTGCATTTCCTGAGTTATATTAGCAAAGAACTCAGCAGTCTGGAGAGAATTTTCTGCCAGTTTTCCTATAAACAGGAAGTCTTTGTTCCCTGAGTGTTTAAGTTTTGCTACATTGCATTACTGAAGTGGTAACACAGAAAATACTGTTCTTGATCATACTGTAGCCCAATGAATCCACAGTGGTGCACTAACAAAAGTGGTAGATTTCCCCTGCGCTTGGACTTTTTTTTGCTTTAGCTGAATAAATTATCTTTCTTTTCATTTTACATTGTATGTAATCATTGAATAGAACTATTTTTATTTTAAAATAATAATAAAAAGTACTCTAAAATGCTTCACCTCCACCATCAAAGAGCAAGAAACTCTCTTGGGGACCTAGGGATCCCTGTAAAATGAATACTGAAGATTTTTCATGGCAGTATCAGAAACTGTGGCTTCTAAGACTCCTCTATTAATGCAAATGTATCTCGCCCTTCATTTACCTAACCTCAGCTTTTTTTCCATTTGTTAATTTATTTTTTGTATTTTATTTAGTTCTTACACTGAGAATTTTCTGAGGGAGAGGAATCATTGTGCTCTTTGTACAGTGCCTGGCACAATGGAAAATCTGTTTAGGATCCTTATGAGTAGTACAACAGAAATAATAAACATGTTGTGTTAAGAAACAATAGAAAGCAGTATCTCCAAGAACAAGCTGAAGAATAGAGGCCTTGTGTTATGAAAACACTTCTAGTAGGGTGCAAAATAAAAGATGTTCCTTAACCATTTTAAGCTCTACATTTTCATACTCCCTGTACAATCTATTTATAACTTCTCATCTTGCATACCTCAAGATGATGTAACATAATTGCCACATAAATCTTTCTCCCCGAGCATTCTGATGGAGGATGGCATTTCAAGAGCCCATTTTCTACAGCAAGAACAGCTAGCAAAAATAGTTCCGAACACCACAGTCATTTTAGGTGAGAGATATTGTACTTTATTTTGAGGGGTGGTTACACTTCTTAAGTTGCAACAACCTGAACACAGAATCAATAAACAAGATCTATTAATGAGCTTAGAAAGTCTGTAAAAATAAAAATTGTAAATTGGAATTCCATAGTTACTGTGAAAGCTTTTCACTCCAATGGATTTACTTTTTTCATGATTATGGATGCAAGTTTTCTTTCAATCCTGCAATGCAGGCAAGTAAACCTCCACTGAAGCTGCTTTTTTTAAAAAACAAAGCAAAACAAAACAACAAAAAAAGAAAACCTATGTTTTTTGGTTATTTGTCCACAGCACTCACTCTGGAGAAAATAGATAAAATGGATTCTTGGGTTGAGCTTCAGTGCCAAAATGTAGTTGAACTAAAGTCTAATTTGAGAGACCATTGAAGTTTTATTATTGGTGTTTATGGCAGTACTCCTCTTCTAGCTGCTTTCTGATCCATTAAGACAGACCATGGCACTTCTTCACCATGGCACTCAGAACCTTTTACTGTTACAAGAATAATGGACAGAAGTCAGACCTTTCACTAAAGACTTTACATTCAATGTGAATGAGACAGTGGATGTACAGAGACAGACACCAAGTCTCCTAAGGATCACATGGCAGAGCAGCTGGAACAGCTGGAAAACCCATCTCCCCACTCTACAGGCTGCTGCCTTGTCCATGACTCCACAGCGACTGTTCAGGTTTGTCCTCTCACAGCAAACCTGGGAGAACAAATTCTTTCACAAAAGTATTTCTTTAAATTATTTCAGTATACAGCTATTATATCTTACTATTATTAAAGAATATGGCCATATTATACCCACAGAAACTTAAAAAGATACATTTAACCGAGGAGTATATACTATGATGGAAAAAAAACTTGCATACAAGGATTCTGTAAACTTCTCAGGTTATGAGATGGAAAATACCTGCCCAACTGTCACTTACATGTATTATTAAAACAAAGATCTGATAAAGCATTTTTCATGTACGAAGTATTAAGCTGGCACCTTCTGCTTTGGAGTTAAAAGCATGACTGGATGCCTCATTTGGTCATAAAATCGATTCACCCCCTGCCAGTTTTACACTTGCTCCTCTTCAAAAGATACTAAGCAGAAAAGAAAGAAAAAAGTCCCCATTTTTTTCCCTGTTAAGCCACTTATGGAATCAAAGGGACAAATATCATTACAAGTCCTACATTTTCACCAACAGGTGGAGCTTGCATTTTGTATTTCAATTTCAATGACAACATATTTATATATATAAAAATTATCCTTTTTTAACTAACACTCAAAATTCCAGTGTTTCAGCTATGTAGGATTAGGGCCACGGCACGCTATTCCAATGCTCCAATGCATTTAAACATTAAACACTCAGCCAATTCGTCTTATAGGCATTAATTACAAAACACATTTTTTTAAAATGACTGTATGATTAGATCGACTACCACTTTTCTTTAGAAGTGATCCCTCAAGATTATATTATCATTTATTTTGACTCCACAAATGCTCACCTATATTACTGATCTTCTCTGCATTGGTTTAAACTATGACAAAGTCTGATCTCAGCTAGACTAGAACTGAAATGATGTTGTAAAGAGATAATGATGTGACTCTGTGTGGTCGACTTCTTCCACTGAATTCTTGGCAGGACAGCACGAAAGAACCCGCTGTTATAATTTAACTAGGGATATGCTATTGATAATATAAGCTTCGTCCGGGGCACAAAGCTATTTGGAATTATTTCACATTATTTATCCTGGATAGGAAATTACTTTTTGGAAATCCTTTAATGGTAATCATTTTCTAATCTCTGCCTAACAAAATCCTTGATTGCCTGTGTCTTTTTAGTAATTACTTAGCTTCCTGCAAACATCTTAACATCCTTTTATGCTGTCAAAGTCATCATCAGGAAAAGATGACAAAAACAGAGAAAAAAAATCTTAAACTCCAACAATTATTCTACAATCCTGTGGAGAAGGGGACCTCCATAATCCACTGTGACAGAGGATATTGCACATGCACTCTGCCAAAATAGTTTTTGATGCCATCAGTGAATTCTATAATGATCCAAACAGGAGAACGTTAAAGGAATATATACATGTATGTGCACAGAGATGTAGATACACACACTGAGACACAAACATATATACAGGCACAGTCAGTACATTTTGTAACAGAGATTGTATTGGAGCTTATATACGGGAGTCATTCATAGGAAGACTTTTGTTGAATGTTACTTCAAAATGCTAAGTATCACAAACCAGCTCTAAGTGCAAGGTATGGGCACCATATGGAACCAATTGGAGAAAAATTGTGTTTCAGATCATTCTTATCTTAAAAGGAAATTAGGAAAGCTAGTCTGCACATACTCTGAAATCTTTCTCTAGAAACACAGAATATCTCTTGAGAGCACCCAAAAAAGGCCTAGCAATCACTTCATTTAAATTAGCAACAACAAAATCTGTTGCAAATGTAACTTAAAGTGGAAGTCAATTGCCAAGTAAGTTCTATGGCTTTTGAAAACGTAAAAACACCCACGTGCCTTCTCCCAGGGCTTTGTAAATCCCATTGCTACCTATATGGAAACATATCAAATTGCACTACTGCAAAAATAAATAAATAATACTAAATAATAAATAAAAGAATAAATAAATAATAAATAATTCCATGTCAAAACTATTTTTAACTCTCCTTTCAGATACTGTGTTTTACAAGTTTATGATGCTGTAGATCACTGCAGCTGTGAGTGCCGTTTTAGGAGCACGTCTCTTGAGCAGAGCTGTGTCTGTTCAGTCAGGAGGCCCTGCGGCTCTAGGGGCTCCTGCATAGAGAAAGCAAGATGCCACCTTTGGCAGTAATGCTAAAAAGCACGGCAAAACAGAGAAAAGTGAGAGAAAAACGCTAAAAGGGTGGAAAGGTATGCTATTTATTAAGTAAATATATCAAAAACATTAATTAAAAATAAACAAATACATTAAAAACGTGAGGCAGCAACTACCGCCCAAGAAAGCCAACGGTCGCGCAAAGCCAGACACACCCCGCCAACGGCCGCCTGACTGCGCATGCGCGCATGGGACACCCCGCTCGCCCCGCCCGCAGCGAGGCGCATGCGCAACCTGGCGCCACACGAGCTACGACGCGGCGCAGCCGCATGCGCTTTGAGGACGGGAACGAGCGGTGCTTCCTTTTCCGGGTTAGGTCCTAACCCTCACCGTGGGAAAGCCCACGTCGCCTCCTGCCCATTCGTAAGGCTCCCCCGCCGCAGCGGCGGCTTTTGCGTCGTTACTGGGCCCGGTCCCCGGCCCGTTAAGCGGCGCCACGTTCCTACTTTCCCTGGCCGCGCCGGCGGCCTCTGCGCCTGCGTGAACCCCGCTGGGCCCCACCCATCGGTGAGCAGGGGCACGCGCGAGCGCGGTCGGCGCATGCGCGGGAGGCGGCGCATGCGCGGGAGGCGGCGGCGGTGCCAGGGTGAGGGGTGCTCCCGGTAGGGGGATGTGGGCGCGTAGCCGCCGTGAACGGGGAGGCCGCTTCTGCCCCCATTTCCCCTGCAAAATCGGTTCCTGTTCACTCAGGGCTTTGCCCCGCTCGGGAGACACTTGCAGAGATGCAAAAAACCTGAGAGGTGCTGCCTGAGGAGGCTCTGAGGAGAATAAAGGGTGTGTGGTTGGCTGTGCCCAGTGTGTGAATGCTTTAGGCGGATATTCGTTAGTGCCAGGGCCTGTAAGGTGTCCACAGAATGCCCTCCCATCGTCCTCAGAGAGAAGAGACACCCAGTTTTCTAAAATAGCTAGTGCCATGACCTACACCTGGGACTAGATATCTTTCTCTCTGCTTGGAGTAGAAGGTGGTTCAGTAGTTCAGAAACTTCAGAAGTTTCTTTTTTCTTTAAGGGGCAATTGTCATTAAGTACTTCCTGGCTGTGTGTAACACTTGAAATTCTCACAGACTGCCTTTTTTTTTTTTTTTTTGGTCATTTTAAGTAGTGGAAGATGGAGCAGTTATGAGAGGGTCTTGTTCTGCCTACTGTTTTGGCAAACCTATGTAACATCACTGTTACCCAAATCTAACGACTACATACTTTACATAAGCACTGCATATAACAGTGAAAATACTGATGTATTCAGCATGTGCATAATGATTTATCAATCTTCTCTTGGTTTATAAACAGGATTTTTAGCACTGTATGTTATAGAATCTACTGCATATACTCATCTTCTCAGTGGATCGGTAGGAAGAAGGGACAGTAGTTTTGGCTGATGGCTGTTCCTGGAAAGGCAGCTGCTTTCCGTCTGCCACCTCTCCCAACTATTCGAGAGATTATTAAACTCTTCCGCCTCCGAGCACAGAAGCAGCTTTCTCAGAACTTCCTGTTGGATTTGCAATTGACGGGTGAGATGTTTTATGCAGTTATAGACACTATAAAATACGTTTCCTGGTTTTCTTCACAACTCAGATTGTCACTGAGGGTATTAGATTTGCATGATGACATCTGTCAAGCTCGTAGTGGCTCAGTGGCTTAAAAACCTTCTTTTTAAGATTTGATTCTGTGATTTTGTGATTTCTTTAACAAGTAGTATCAGCTTAGTAATTGGTTTTACTTGCAAATTCCAAGGAAATGTGTTCCTTCAGAGAGTAAATTATGTAATTTATGTCATGGTAATTGGTAATGGTAAATTATGATGTAATTGTAGAAATCCTATTCCTGCATTGAGAGCTGATTGCTCTGATTGCAAATGCAAAAAAACAAACAAACAAAAAACCTGCAGTAATATTGTAATATTATTAGCGTTCAAACACTGTCAAAATTTGGACTTGGATTCAACAGGGAAAGAGTACAGTAACTTACTTTGTGGGGTTTTTTTTGTATATTGTGATTCATAAGATTCTGTGTTTGTGATTCCTGGGAATGTAGTAGCTTTCTAAGCCAGCTGCATTTTTCTGGTCCATGCAGTTGTCTTTAGCTTTGTCTCAGGAATAGATGATGAACTTGGTTTGTAGTGGGGCATGTAGAAGTTCTAGGGGTGGCTGGGCCTTGCACTAGTAAATATATTTATTATGACGACTCCATGTATCTGATGATTTGACTGTGGCTAAAGATTAGAGTTGATAAAGTTTTAGGGTCTAAGCATAAAGCTTAGTTCCAATTCTTGAATAACCATGCAGCTAGCCTGGAGTGGAAATGCCTGCATATGTTTAGTGTAACCTCACAGGCAAACAAGGCTTCAGGTATACACCTTACGGTGTGAGCAGCATATTTTCCCTCATCATTACTCTTCATGCTTCGTACCAATTTCTTTGTTTCATTAGCTGTTTTGTTTTATCCTTTTTTTTTTTTTTT